TGTCGTGAATATATGCCAAATAAAACCATTGATCTTATTTCAGCGCAGCTATTTGCCATGCATGACTTACAGTGACATTTTTGTTAGGGAGTGTGGAGCGATCACGCTAGTTAGCACACTTGCGTCTATAACGAGTCACTTGGAGATGAAAGGTTCGATTCTCGACATGATTACTATACCGTTCGATTGTTAGGCTTTCTTGTGTCCTTTTATCTCTGTTTTTTATTTTTTTATGAGTGCCGATCATTTTTTGTATATTTGTTTATTATATCAACGGCCTCATGGATTTCCCGTTTGTTTATTTCTGTGCCTAATACACGTTTGAACTTACCCACATCCTGAACATCCGGCTATCCCTATAGAGGGTTTTAAAAAGGTATTTCAGAAATTCCAGTCATTACACCAAATTTATGTTACCAGTGTCATTGTCAGATTTTGACACTATCGAAAAGAAAACAAGATTAAACTAAACGCCTTTGAAATATAGGGTAAAAGCGGCGAATGGGCCAGAAGAGATCGTGTGAGAAATGCAAACATTATCATCATCATTATTATTATCATGTGTCCTGCCAACTGGCATAAGCGCTCATACATCTCCACAGATCACGATCCCTGGAACAGCTCTCTTGATGCCATCGTTTCAGACCATCCAGCATCATCTCTCTCGGTCTGCTTCTACCCCCTTTTCCACTGATCTTTCCAGTTGTCACGATGTTCTCCAATGTCTCACTTCTCATTATGTGGCCAAAGAATCAGAATCACCAATTTTCATTTCTGCTGTTAAGCGTTGTGAATAGAAGCAGTTTGCGATCCATTGCTTGATAGCAAGCAATGGTTATCGACATTCTTTGTCGATGTAGAAGCTTTCCAATGTCATCAATCCATATTCTACTAGAGCGGCCTCTTGCTTTCACTTCAGCGTGTAGCTCCTGCGTTGTTAGTTGTTCCGGCTGTATTCTTACAAGATAACCAAACCCGTTGACTTTATGTTTCTCAATGAATTTGCTGCATGGTGTTGTTCCTACAGCCTGTCTGATCATATATTTTCTAACTTTGCCTCGGGTGGTTAAATTGATGAACATTGTAACTACTGGAAATATGCCCATCAGTAAATTATTCGCGAAACAAAGACTGAAGTGGTTTGACTGCCTAATAAGAAAGAAACCAACGATGAAGGCAGCCAGGATGGTTTGGTCATCTTGTAAGAATACGCACGCGATACACGTGAGAAGATCCGAAATGAAAGCAAGAGGCCGTTTTAGTAGAAAGACTGAACCGAGTCCAAAATGAGCCCACGAGACTCATACTCGGCTGCACAAAAGACACCTCCTGCAACGCTATGCGTTATGTCCTGATTGCGACGATGACTAGCAGATACAAAATGGTACAGGTCAATGCGTACCTGAGGGTATCGGCAAACGTTAACCACCTTCTGTAAAAAGCTATACACGACACAAAAGTAACGCATCTCGAAACAGGCCGCTCCTGAATGGCAAAGGCTGAGGATTTAATCCAGCAGGTATGTGCATAGACATGATCGGTCACGGAATGGACGAATACACCAGTAGACAGGCATGACATCTCTAAGCTTGCTATCACACTCGGAAGGTTCTGCAGGGATCAAATTCCTGCGGGCGTAGACACAGAGGTAGAGGAACTGATAGATCAGCATTCAGACAAAGAAAATGTCATCATCTACTCAGGTGGATCCGTGAAGCGTGGATCACGGTCAGCATGGGCATACACAGCGCAAAGAATGGTAAAGCATGACCATGGATATATCCGCTGCTTCTAGAGCATAAGCATGGGTATCTGAACAAACCGCCACACAGGCAGTAAATGTATCAGACTCAATGAATATGCTTCAGAAGATAGCAACAGGCGGTATGCGCTCTGAATGGGTAGAAGGCATTCGAAAATCGCTCTTAGCCTCCCTCACCTGGATCTACACGCCTGGTCATTCGAACGTAAAGGAAAATGAACGATCGGAACAACTGGCAAGCATTGCACAAAGGCATGTGGGAAGAAGCATAGACAGATCAGATATCGTCAACGCTGTACGGACTGGACTTGTGGATAATGAGGAATCCGTGATATTAACATGATTGCGTGACATGGGAGTAAAGCATGGTGAAGCACGTCTATGCCGTCTTGGAGGGCGAGACAGGAGACAATATAATTAGCTTCTCATGGGAACAATTAGTACAAGTACTTTAGAGTGGCTGCTGCATCGGAGGACTGAGCACGCATGTGAATGCCCAATGTGCAGTGACGCCGATTGTGATAACATAACATAACATAGCCAGGACACACAATCTGAAAATGGAAATAACTAAATACAGAGGCAGACCAAGAAGGACATCAGCTGAACGCGTCACTGACAATCTAAGACGTCACGTCACAGAATTCCAAGTAACCTGTAGGTATGCAGTTTTCCCCACATGACTGCAATATGTAGAATTACCTCCTCCAAGAAAAAAATCAAACTGGCAAAAACCCAGAATCAACTGTATAAACCAGTTATTTTGCGGCTCACAACTCTTACGTGGAAACCTCAAGTCTGGGTAGGGCAGGTGGTGCTACATCGTGCAACCGAACACTATCTGGCTCGGCTTACTATTATCAAATAAACAACGACGCCTAGCAGTACGTATATATGGCTCTACTGGCAAATCCGGACGAAGAATAAACAGACTTGGACGACTTAGTCAGAGTTATCTCCCGTCGCCGCACTCCGAACAGTAATCGGAAAACAAACGAAACAAACGACAAACTTACCTATCATCCTGCGGTTGCGTGTAGGGCTGCGTACGGTTGCGTGAGATATCGTGGCATCATCATATGGTTGCGTGCACAGATGCGTAAGGTTGCGTGAGGCATTGTGAATGGTTGTGTAGTCATCATCATGCGGTTGTTGGATTAGAGTTAGGGGTAGGGTTAGGGTTAGGGGTAGGGTTAGGGTTAGGGGTAGGGTTAGGGTTAGGGTTAGAGTTAGGGGTAGGGTTAGGGTTAGGGGTAGGGTTAGGGTTAGGGGTAGGGTTAGGGTTAGGGGTAGGGTTAGGGTTAGGGGTAGGGTTAGGGTTAGGGTTAGAGTTAGGGGTAGGGTTAGGGTTAGGGGTAGTGTTAGGGTTAGGGGTAGGGTTAGGGTTAGGGTTAGGGTTAGGGGTAGGGTTAGGGTTAGGGGTAGGGTTAGGGTTAGGGTTAGGGGTAGGGTTAGGGGTAGGGTTAGGGGTAGGGTTAGGGGTAGGGTTAGGGGTAGGGGTAGGGTTAGGGGTAGGGTTAGGGGTAGGGTTAGGGGTAGGGTTAGGGGTAGGGTTAGGGGTAGGGTTAGGGTTAGATGTGAAAATTTTGACGTAGGATTTTGAAATACTGGCCGACAATATGATGTTTGTGGGAGTGGCGCCACTGAAACTCTGCCAAATATGACGGCAATAGCGTGCGGCTGGTGCCCCCAATCGTTGGCGAATTGTGCGTGTTACCAGCATCCAGAGGCCCTCGATTGTTTGTTTGTGTGTATGGGACTGTGCGCGATGATAGGGAACTCCGGCGTCAAAATTGTCAAATCTAACGCTAATCCTAACCCTACCGCTAACCCTAATCCTAATCCTACTCCCTAACCCTAACCCCTACCCCCCTAACCACGCAAATTTATCGATCATTAAAGCATACAAATCGGCAAACACCAACAAACAAAACACACCCAAAAAAAAAACACCCAGAATTGTCCTGCAGCGTCGAAAAAAAACCAGATCTGGGGGAAACAACCAAGCATTGGCAGCCCTGATGTCGACGTGACTGTCTTTGTTTCGTTGTGGATTTTCCGATCACTGTTTGGAGTGCGGCGACGGGAGATAACTCTGACTAAGTCGTCCAAGGCTGTTTATTCTTCGTCCGGATTTGCCAGTAGAGCCTATATATAATTGAACGTTTATGTTTATATATATGTGTGTGGGTATATGCCTATATAGTGCATACAAGCAACCTCCCCTAACAGCCCTCAGTAGGTACTAAAGTACCAGCCCAAGCCACTAGTTTTGATGCAGTTAACATTGCTTAACCAACATAATTGCCACAAAGAAACAAGACCACAATTATAACCAATATTGCTCGCAGAAGGTTTAACGTGAACGAATTTTTTTTTTAATCGCAAACTACTGGATCTGAATTTGGCTTAAAAAATATCTCAACAGCCTTAAAAATAAGATTGGCTGAGACACCCCCATAGGAACGCGGCAGTTACCCCTTCGACATCAATTCTTATGTTGGGTGTAGTGAAATCATTGTAATTCTTCTCTCCCCCCCCCCCCCCCCTCCTTGTGCTTTCTTAAATGAAGCACCATTCACTCTTTCTGCTAAAGCCACTGACCCATTGGCGCATATAAGGTACTCTTCCGAATAATGGCCCCCATTATTGACTGTCCAAAACATTCCTTTCAGAGCCTCACGGGGTTCAAGGGGTTACAAAGAGGTCAAGGGGTTATAAAGAGGTTATACATACAAAATATGGAACAACAAAATATGGAACAATACGTACCAATGCCGTGAAATAATCGAGGCCATCAAAATATGGAACAACAAAATATGGAATAAGTTTTGGACAGTCAATAATAAGGGGCCTTTATTCGGAAGAGTGCCCATTTTATTTGTGATAGGCAAGAGATCGTTCGGTTGCATAGTGAAGGCATTTTACCATGCTGGGCTGTTTCTAATAATGAGCAATTTCAACTTTGATAAGAATATCATAGACACCATTGAAGCACTTTACAAAGATAACAGTGCAGTACTCCTTTTCTCCCCCTCACTAGCTAAGGTTTTTCCCGTTTCTTTCAAAGATCGCAAAACAATTTTTTAGAAAACCATACCCGCCATATTTGTTGTCATGCAAACGTTTCCAGTAGCCGTAATGTTCCGAACGAAAGCAACAGTTATTGGTTTTGCGTGGCTATACGGTAAGTTGTGGTGACAACTCAGTAATAATAACTATTAACACGGCAAGAAATATGATCTCCACAACATACTTGTTATGCTTAGTAATATTCATTTTACTGACACATGCAGTGTATTCAAGTGAAACACCAGGTGCAACTGTTGTGAACTACGATGCTGAAACATTTGTGGAAGGACTGAAAAGAAATAGAAATTTTGTTATGTTTTACGCCCCTTGGTAACTTATAATACTTATATTATTATTAATATTAATTATTGGTAGAGTTAAAGTTGATGGAATTATTTAATTTAATTAATTATTATTATTACTATTTTATAAAACGGCTCTCCTTGCAATAACGGTCGCTACTTGGACGGCCGCTCAGTCGGAGTTCAGTCCCCTGGCTGCAGTGCAATTACGGAGTGGACAAGGCATGAAACAAAGTCAGTTCAACATGCTCGTTCCGGGCGAGACATGATCAGCTGTACTACATTGGAGGAAGCTGCAGGAGCTGCGGTAGCTGCTACTTGTGAGTCCAAGCCATCTAGTTTATCCCCTTCCGCGCCGCGTGTAGCAAGGCGGGAAATACATTCGGAGGTGGTACTATAGTCGCCGGAAAAAGAATCCACAATTTACAGGAGCTACTTCTTCTGTCGGAGGTACCAGAGCCATCCTGGCGGCTGCTGGTTTGATGTTTTCCGGAGGCCACATGCGCAAACAGTAAACCGCCCATTACAACTGATCATGTATCGCCCGGAACGAGCCAGGGGACTAAACTCCGACGAAGCGGCCGTCGCAGTCCAAACTAGCGACCGTTATTGCAAGGAGAACCCATTAAACTATTATTCTGTTGAACAATAATATTAATGCCACTCTACATGTAACATAATGTTCTTTATATATAATGTGCTGTATCTACGTGTCGCATAGAAAAAAGCATTGCATGGACTTAATCCGGCTATCCTCCGAATAACAGGCACATATTATGGCAGCCTCAAAAACACCCTAACAGGGCCTCAGTCACATGTCAGTTGCGAACTTCCGTCGACTTAAATTTCGCAATTCCGGTGACTACCGCAAACATCGAGAGTATCTCCCACACTGCTACGTGCGGCGTGGATTGCGGCTAAACTAGATGGCTGGGACTGGGACTCAGAGCAGCAGCTTCCGCATCTCTTGCAGCTTTGCTCGTGAGTCCCAGCCATCTGGTCACCAGAAGTCCACAAATTAAGTCGCTGGAAGTCCGCAATTTACATGTGACTGAGGCCCTGTTTTTGGCCGCCATAATATGTGCTCGTTATTTGGAGAATAGCCCCTACCCCCTCCCCCAAACCAGCCTTTTAAATTTTCTAGGCAATTAAATAGGGCTTAGCTCTACCCATACACCCCTCCCCCCAAACATCAAGCCCCCTAACCACGCGCTCCCCACCAGCTAGGCAAACAGGTGGATGGTGGAGCTAAAAACCTATCGGACCTCTAATCTTGCGCATGAGCACAACACGAGAAAAGATTCTCCCGCAACATAGGAGAGGCCCTGCAACTTGATGAGGCATGAATAAATAGGGAAATCACTCTCGTTTGCAGACCAAAATGATACATGCACTGAAATACTTTTACAGAACATTTCTAAACATGGGAAAAGTTGGCATCTTAGTCCTCTTACAAAATTATTGGGGGTGGGGGCTGGAGGAACCTGAGCTTCTAATCCTGGAACACTTCTAACACCAAAATCAGAGTGATTAGAACAGCTGTTGTTTATGACTCTGAAACCTGTAGCACAACTAAGATTGAATTTAAAAATGCCCTTCTACACATCTTTGAGAATAGTCTTCTTTAAACAAATTTGTAGGCTCATTAAAGATGCAAACAGTGGAGAATGGAAAATGATAGGCAACAATTATTAAATTTCTTTTTTTGTTTTAATCCCCACTGGAAACAGACTGTTGGTTAGGTGAGATATATTATATAGAAAAAATAACAAATGCACAGGCAAAGAAGTGAAATGGGACTTGACCTAGAGGCAGACCAAGATGACGGCTGGTGAGATAAAATATGTGCAGACCTATAAACACTTGGAGTGACTAACTGGGAAAAAAGAAGGCTAGTCAGAGAGGTGAATGGACTGAGGTGATATCTGCAGATAAGAATGTGCAGTGGGGCAGATTGTGATAACAAAACATCTCTGGCAGTGAACCGGAAGAGTTCAGAATGTAAAGAAAAAGATAAGATGACTACTTTAAACACAATTAAAAAACAATAAGTCAAGTGGTGCTGATGGAATAGCGGCTAAATTCATAGAAGAAAGTCAATAAAACAAGTATGGATGGCACTTATCACTGTAACTCCTTCTGTGTGCAAATTTTTTTTTTTTTCAAATATCTGTGACCATTTTTTTCTTCTCTTTTTTTAAATTGTTGCTCTAAGGTGCCTACCCTTGAGATAGTCAGTGTTAATTAACTACTGACTGAGATCATGAGGGTTAAAAGGAGCCATAGGCCAGAACTGTTTTTAAACCTATAGCCTGGGTGAAAGGAATTGGTCTCCTCTTCTTCTGCTTAATGTTCGAATACTCTAAACTCCAGCAGAAAGTTCTGGTTGTTTATCTACATCTGGACTTTGGTCTTGTTCCAGAATTTGAGTTTTACATTGTACATCCATGTTACAGATCTGGCTTATTTGTGTGCAGACTGTTGGTTTCTAGCCTCTCAGAAATATGCACTCCAACTGCAACATTCCTAATTAGTCAGGGTGCTTGTTAAGGGGCAGTGGGTCTATCCCCTCACCAACCCTTTTTGTAATGGGCACCCAGAACCCACACAGATTAGTTAGTTAGTTAGTTGGGTTATCATCATTGCACTCTGGACATGTCTATAGGTGCTCAGATTTTCTCCTCAGTTCGAACCCCAGCATTCTATGACTAATCGTGCCAGTTCTGTCTTGATTAAGAAGTCTTCTGAAGTGCCTGGTGTGCAACTCCTTTTTTGTTTGTTTTTGCGATACTGATCTTAACTCGCAGGTCTTTCATTCTGGTGCGTGATGTGGACTCACTGCCCTCAAAGTCCTCCCACCTTTCCCATTTCTCAGAGGGCATTAATAACATCATTATGATCCATAGGTTGACCATCAGTAGTTACGGTACAGATAGATTGTGAATCTGTTTGTAGGCTGGTAACAGAGAGATGTAGGTAGATCTCTACCAGTCTGAGTCCGGGTGTGCTACCACATGGGATTCAGCACCAATCCACATGGTTTGACGACCATTTGCACCGGTGAACAGAATTTCTGAAGTGACAGACTAGTAGCATGGGCATGTCATTTATTGTGATAGTAGGTAACACCTGGAGAATTGAGAATGGCAGAGTCCCTAAGGACATCCTCAATGGTGAATTAGAGATGGATAGAAGAGGTCGAGGCCGACCTCTGCTACGATATAAAGATATGTGGGTAACACCTGGAGAATTGAGAATGGCAGAGTCCCTAAGGACATCCTCAATGGTGAATTAGAGATGGATAGAAGAGGTCGAGGCCGACCTCTGCTATGATATAAAGATATGTGCAAATTGGACATGAATGATACAGGTATTGAGATGAACTTGTGGGAACAAAATGCCATAGACCATGTTGTGTGGAGGGAGCACATTAGGAAGGTAACGAGAATGTAGGAAGAAAGGATTACAGAAAGAATGAGAGCTAAGAATAAACAGACTAAACACAAATGTGGACAACAAGGATCCCAAAATCCCATACTATAACTGTAGAAGATTGTTCTTAATGCCGGCGGGTCTTGCTAGTCACACTCACCATGGCCATTTGCTATGATTCCCATGCCTTCTCATAGTGCAATGTAACACTGTCATCTGGAAAGATGAACAAGTGCCAATCAGTCAAGAGTATCACCTGGTTCAAACCCACCATAAGATGTCAGGTCCACTATTATTTATATCCGTAAATTCAGCATGGTAGCATTATTGTTTTCTGTAGTGTTTGCCCTTAAATATGTGGTTGGCACATTGTGCTTTAGTATTATAAAGCTAGGCTGTGATATCTGTACCTTTAATATATCAGCCCAACCTGTCTGATTTTATCAAATTTCCAAACTATCATAATAAACTTCTTCTTCTTCTTCTTTATTCTTTGTTCATTTGCTGTAATCTCTGGGGTAAAGTCCTGGTTCTTTGTTCATTTGCTGTAATCTCTGGGGTAAAGTCCTGGTTGTTTGTTCATTTGCTGTAATCTCTGGGGTAAAGTCCTGGTTCTTTGTTCATTTGCTGTAATCTCTGGGGTAAAGTCCTGGTTGTTTGTTCATTTGCTGTAATCTCTGGGGTAAAGTCCTGGTTCTTTGTTCATTTGCTGTAATCTCTGGGGTAAAGTCCTGGTTGTTTGTTCATTTGCTGTAATCTCTGGGGTAAAGTCCTGGTTGTTTGTTCATTTGCTGTAATCTCTGGGGTAAAGTCCTGGTTGTTTGTTCATTTGCTGTAATCTCTGGGGTAAAGTCCTGGTTGTTTGGACTTTTGGTTTGTGCCAAGGCCTGATTTTTGCATGTACAGCTGTTTTACTGGCTTATTTGTGTGCAGCTGCTTGTTCCTTGCCGCTCTGGCAGATGCAGTCCAACTTGGAAGGAAGTCACCATTGAGTCATCTCCTAGGTTTGTTGGGGAGGCAATTAGTCTATTCTTGTTTTCTCCGCAATGGGGCCCTGAAACCCACATAGGGAGTAGCTGAAGTAACATTGTTGTCACCCATCTGTCTTTCCAGAGAATAGTGTTGTATTCTGCTATGTAAAGGCATGGGAATCACAACCCATGGTGAGAGATAATGTGACTGGCAAGACCAGCCCGCATTAAGAAATGTTTTCAACCATCAGACCATAGGATTTCAGGACAATTCTTGCAGTCACATGTGTTTAGCGAGCTTATTCTCAGACGCTTAGCTCTTAATCTTTCTGCAATCATTTTTTCTTTAACTTTCACTCCCAGATTTTCTTCTTCCAGACAACACACTCCATAGCATTTTGTTCCCTTAAATATGTCTTAATACCTGTATGATTCATATCCCACTTGCACACATCTCTAAATCTTGGCAGAGACTGGTATTAGCATCTTCTACCCATCTGTAATGCTGATGTAATAAGTTATTAAGAAAATACAGTTCTTGTGGTTTTGTTTAAAGTTGCAGCACGGCAGAGCTTGGGAGCCTCATCCCTTAATATTTCCAAAGACATATTTCTCTGCATGCATTAAGCCAGCCTTCATTGTGGAGACGGCACAGAGTTACTATGCTCAACCACATGTAAAAAGATACTTCACACAGTAACTGAGATTGTAGAGCCAGTGACCCAATGTTTTGGACTAACAGTTTTAATCTATAGATGATTTTTTTTTTAAGGTGTGGACACTGTAAAAACCTGGCACCAACATGGGAGGAACTAGGAAGAATCTACAACAATGCAGAAAATAGTCCTGTTATTATTTCTAAGGTATGCATTTAAATTTACTGAACTGTTTCTGTACTAGCCACTAATTATTTTACCTTTGTCTATCTAACTCAAGACATTGTAGATTGAAGTAGCTGATGTTTGGCTCCAAAGAAGTTGAAATAACAACACTATGAGACAGCAGGTTTTAAACTAACATTTCATGTAGAATCAGTAAATGTTAACAGTTATCTTTGATAGAAGGGAGTAAATGAAATACAATACCTAAGATCGAGGTTACCAGAAGGGAGTAAAAGAAATACAATACCTCAGATAGAGGTTACCCGACTAACAAATGTTTCAGCTAACGAAGATTTTTTGTGTTGAAATCTCAGCTAACAGATTTGAATTTGCAAATGGATATTTTAGTTGTTGCATTCAGTTGAGTTGTCTTAAGTTGATTCACGAACTGACATCACAGCACTCTGAGAATTTGCATAAGCAACTTCCCCATCTTAAGCAGCCTTTGCAGAGTTCCAAAATCCATGGTACCATTAGCAGTCTATTTATATGTCCATCTTGCCTTGCCTCTAAGCGTGGAGTATTGGCCAGATCCTCTCATCACTCCTTGCTGCATCATTCTCACCAGACTGTTGATCCGTTTGCTCCTCCAAATTGCACACCATCTCTCATAAGGCATTGACCACATCTGCTTTTTAATGCATCAGTACTCCACCAAGTTGTGCAGAGCCAGCTGGTCTGTCCACCTGTTCATTTCCCAAGACACAGGCATAACCCATTGCGTGCGCTATCATAACGTGATAATATTGTGAGTTGAATTTTTTGCACCACTTTTTGAAAATCAGGTTTTGACTAACAAAGATTTTGGCTAATGAGTGAGATTTTGGAATTAACTATTTTCATTTGCCGAAGTATCACTATATACTGTTTTGGATTAAAGATGAGTATGTATCCCTCAGGACCGCACAATGAGTGACCTACATAAGAAGATGCAAAGTGCCACCATTTGGATGAGGATCACCCAGGCACAAGTCCCAAAACCCCTGCTTAACCTATTGGTTAACCTGCAGCAACAGCCAGGGTGGTGCTTCAGAACAACAAAAGATTGTGTCTAACATTGGGACGTGGCCCTCTAATACATGAGTTGCATGTTATTGAAAGAGTTAATACCTTTTACGTCTGTCAATAAAAGTCACTAATCATAGTTTATTTCATGAGAAGACCTGTTTCTTTAGCAGTCCCTTATTGTTCATTAAAAATAACTCATATCAGTCATATCTGAACGGGGGTGGTGAGGTCTATGTGATGAAGTTGTCAAGCCATTGGCCTCGCTCTCAGAAGGTCATGCGTTTGTTTCCTGGCTGCCTCTTTAAGTTCATGAGCGCAGTTTTTACGGAGACCCGTTGGGGTCGTAGCTGGAGAAGTGGAGTTTGTGCTTTGCATGACATTCTTGACAGGTGGCTAGCCATTCTTTGGAGAGAGACCGAGACCAAAATTGTCTCTTGTTCTTAATTACAACACAGAACACTAAAGTAATAGTTACCAAAACATTGTAACAAGTCCCTGCTGCCAGGCCTCACACTGCCATCATGGGAACATCGGTACATGAGTTGAATACAGCTGAAGAATAAACTGGCATAAAGTTTGACTAGCCCTACCAAGCTCTACAACTTGCGAAGTTTACACACAGTGACACAAGCAAGACTCACTAATCACATCAGCACAACAAACCGGCACAAAGTCCGAACTACCCATCAATCTCCACAACTTGGAGATGATAACCTGCGTCCGCACACAACAACGCCAGCAGGTCTCACTAATCACATCAGCACAACAAACCGGCACAAAGTCCGAACTACCCATCAATCTCCACAACTTGGAGATGATAACCTGCGTCCGCACACAACGCCAGCAGGTCTTACTAATCACATCAGCACAACAAACCGGCACAAAGTCCGAACTACCCATCAATCTCCACAACTTGGAGATGATAACCTGCGTCCGCACACAACGCCAGCAGGTCTCACTAATCACATCAGCACAACAAACCGGCACAAAGTCCGAACTACCCATCAATCTCCACAACTTGGAGATGATAACCTGCGTCCGCACACAACGCCAGCAGGTCTCACTAATCACATCTATTTCTGAGCAGTTTTTTTTCCCCATTCCAATACCTACCCATTCAGTACATGCAAATCAGTTGTGCTACACTGAACGGCGTGCATACGCTATGCAGTTCTCTGGAACTACAAGTACTGCGACCTTGCCCAAGTCTTATCTAGTATTCTGAGCTCCTGCCTGCTAACTTAATATTTTTGTTAGTTAATAATCACAAGATAATTGAGAAATTAATATTTATACATTCATATTCCAATCCCACTCATTCCATTATCATTCTGGCTGTCTTTGTTTCAATATTAATGTGTATATTAAAAAAAAATTTATAGCACAAGGCATGGTACCAGGAAGGAGGGGCAGGGGCTGACCAGCACGAAGATGGGCACAGGATATAAGTGACCCCTGTTGCTATCTACCTGTTGTGTCTTGCCTTATCAGCGACATGCACTGTAAAATTGAAGAAAACACTTGTATTTAGGTAACCTTTAGGACATGCTTGAAAGGGGAGCAGTGAGACTATTCTTCTTTGTCCCAATGTGTGGCCCTGGAACCTACAGGGAAAACAGTGGTAAATAAATCTAAGAATTATAGTTGTTTCATATTTGCTTGTACAGGTTGACTGCACTGTCTACAAAGATCTTTGTGCTCTCCATAACATCCTTGGCTTTCCTACTTTGAAGTTGTTCACCGATGGCGGGACCCACAATATACGTTACAAGGGCAGACGAGACCTTGAGTCTCTGAAGAAGTTTATTCAACAGAAGAGCTCTGATAAGGAAAGTGGGGCAGCAGAAACAGAGGTATGGCTGTTTGCTTTTAACTCTTTCACTCACAAATGTTGTGTGTTGTGTGAATTAACTCTGATGAATTACAGGTGGGTAGAGGATGTTGAGGTTGACCTCTACTACGATGTAAAGATGTTGGCAAGTCGGACATGAATGATACTTGTATTGAAGTAGATCTGTGGAATCAGGATGCTATGGAGCATGTTGCACGAAGGACGAAAATACGGATTGGAATAGAATATATGAGAATTTTACAGCAGATAGGTTAAGAGCTGAGAAGAATCAGATAAATACATGCTATGGCAGCAGTGGTCTTGTTAATGAGAGCAGGTTTTGCTAATCGCTCTTCACAGTGGACAGTGATTTTTTGCTTCCTTTTAGCAAATTCTAACGTTTTCTGGAGGGACAAAAGGGTGCAGATGAATCCTACTCAACATATAATGTGTTCTCATACTTTTTACATTTGGTCAGAGTATACTAAAGAAATCTGGGTTTCCAGTATTTATTTCTCTGTGAAAGTAAGACACCCATGATGCATCCCTTCAGCAAATTATAGCACTTTTATCTTGAGGGACAGAAAGGTGCCTACAAATCCCACCCAACATATAATGTGTATGAAGTATTCTCATATTTGTTACATTTGGTTAGTATATACTAAAGAAATCTGGATTTTCATTATATTTTTTTTGTGTGAAAGTAAGACACCTACGATCCTTCATAGTTGTTTTATTTTTTATTTTTGGGCATCCTTTGTGAAACATTGTGGGGGCTGAAAGAGTTCAGGTAGTTTAACTAGTTGGTTGGTTGGTAGTTGTACCCCACCAGGACGTCACACAAAGTGTTACCATGCGGATGAGGATCACCCGTGGAGAGGTCCCAAAAATTCCTTTCAGCCATTAGGCCATATCTATGTCTAGGCCATATTTATTACCTGGCTGTATTCAGGGCTCCCAGCAAAAGCCAGGGTGGGGCTTCAGAATAACAAAAAAATTGCATTCCATGAGGGGACCACTTATTGAGTGTTAGGTAACTAGATGGTTTTGCAGCAGAAGTAGAGGTATAGTTGTTGGCATTGATGTTTATGTAGACACGAAAAGTGGGGCTGCAGAAAGGATTTGGTGGGGGGAAAAGGGGGGGGGGGGGGGGTAGTAAAGAAAAAGAAGGGTGAGAAGAAGGGGGAAACATCAATGAAGGTGTGGGGGAGGGGATGGAGTAAAGTTAGAAGGAAACAGGTGAAGATGAAAATGGAAAAAAAAAAGAGTGTGAGGCTAGAAGTGGATAGGAAGAAGAAGGAGGGTAAAAGGGACAAGGAAAAAGAGAAAGAGTAGGAGGGGCAGAAGGAAGAAGAATGAGAATAACAATACATCTTTATATGTATGCATGTCAGTAGCTGTTTTTTTTTTTTTTTTTCATGTTATTGTATGGCTACATTTGATACTGAATGCTATTTAACAACAAAATTTATTTTATCTGTTCTATTTTGTATTCAATTTCTCTGTAAGAAAGCCAGTCAAAGAGATGAATAGACGCAGGTGATATTTGCAGCTATTAACCTCAGACACTCAGAATGATGAAGAAGAGGATATCAGTGTAAACAAACTGTCAGTATCTGTGACTCAAAGATTGTGAATGCAGTTTCGTAATTCTGACATGCAGGTTTTGTTTAAGTAGTGGATTTAACAGCAGACCACTCAGCATTGATTTTGGGTAGGAAATGAGAGTCGACTATTCAGAAAGCAATGGCAGACAAGGCAAACAGCCAGCAAATGCTATAGTTGGTTTGTGACATCATTTAAGAGGATATGCAATTAACTTCTCTAGATAAATTATGTTTGTAACAAATATATATATATTTATATTAATGTTTCAAGCAGGGCAGTGATGCAAGCCATGTAAAACAGAAGGCGAATCTAGCAAGTGTGGACAAACCCAAAATAGATCCAGTTATCCTCACGAGTGAAAATTTTGCAGAAACTATTGGGAAAGGATATTTCTTTATTGACTTTTTTGCCCCGTGGTGTGGTCATTGTAAGCAGCTGGCGCCAGTTTGGGAACATCTTGCAGAAACATATAATTCTGATAACAAAGTCACCATTGCCAAGGTAATTATAAAACTAGTTGTAAATGAAAGTAACATTGTTTGTGGTTCATAATGGCTGTACAACCAAAGAGACAGTGAAAGCTGTTAATGTGGGCTGAAATTAGAAATAGAGGCCAAAGAGACAGTAAAAGCTGTTAATGTGGGCTGAAATTAGAAATAGAGGGATTGAGGAAACAAGGGCTTCCAAGGGAAACCCTAAAGTGAACATTGATGAGAGAAGCAAAGTGATGTGGATTTACTGCCTCCAAAGTCCTCCACCCTTCCCATTTCTCTGAGGCCATTAATAATATTGGCATGATCCATAGAATGATATCTGATTTGGCCTTTACTGTGGTAATTGAAGCCAACAACAGCTGGAGCCAGAAACACAGTCACAACTGAAATCAAAAGCTTCTTTTTCAAAAGAAGCTGGTTGAACATGGCGATTTTTGTTTTGTTTTCTAACAAACTGATGAAGATGACTTTTCTGTGATATAAGATGTATGCCAGCAGGACATGAATGAAACAGGTATTGGTGTGGATTCATGGGAAGAGGATACCATGGACCATGTTACATCAAGGGTGAAAAAAAAATCAGGAATTAAATAAGGACAGTAGAGACAATGATTATAGATGGGTTAAGAACTGAGCATCTAAGAAAATGCATAGTCAGTACATACAGGGGCAACATTGGTACTGAAATTCCATACTCTTAATCCTGGAAGTTTGTTCTTAATATGAGTCTTTCAAGTCAGACAGATCATCACTAGATGTTGTGAGGGTCCTTTGGGGGTGAATGAACAGTGCAGAGGCACAATAAGATCATTAGTCTGAGGAGAATGGTACTGTGAGGAGTTACCAGGGGATTTGGCCGACGCTTAGCACTCAAGGGCAAGGTGAGACGGATATACAATCAAACAGTTACTGGTGCCATCGCAATTGAAACTCTTTGTTTGCTGCTGAAGATGGGGACGAGGTGCTTAAGGTAGTATGCTGAATGCTGTGAGATCGATTCCTAATACAAACTTCAATATTCAACTTAGATCACCATCAGCTGTAAATCCCATGCCTGTAAACCACATGCCTGTAAACCACATGCCTGTTAACCCCATGCCTGTTAACCACATGCCTGTAAACCCCATGCCTGTTAACCCCATGCCTGTAAACCCCATGTCTGTAAGCCCCATGCCTGTAAACCCCATGCCTGTAAACCCCATGCCTGTAACCCCGTTGCCTGTAAACCCCATGCCTGTTAACCCCATGCCTCCTGAAACACAGTATAAAACTATTATCGGGAAAGATGTCCGCATATTTGTTGACCTTTTGCAGAATATAATCGTTTTTAATTGCTTTGTTTTTATATTTCCACAGATAGACTGTACTGAGAATGCAGGTGTATGCAAACAGTATGATATCACCGGCTACCCCACATTACTCTGGTTTAAAAATGGACAGAAAGTTTGTAAATTTTGTTGATATTTTAAATCTAGTTTAGTGGCTTAGCAGCTAGACGCTCACCTATTTGGCCAAAGGTTGTAAGTTCAAATCTGCATCAAACCAGATTTGTTTCCCCCCCCCCCCCCCCCCCCCATGACCTCAGCTCCCAGATTGATCCCTCCTACAAATCAGTACTGAGTAAAATCTTGGGAAGTAAAGGCGACTGGTGTGATGTTCACCATGTCACCCACCTAGTTCCAATTGGTATTTAGAAATGTGGGTCAGCATTTTATTACCCAATATGTCAAGTGTGAGGTCAAGGGTCATGTGTAGTGTTTGTACATATTTTTTTCTTTGCAGGCTCTCAACCACTCTTTTTCAATTTTATTTTGTATATCCTGTTGCAGTGTATAAATGTCTTATTTGAAGATCCTAGTTATACTTTGAGTTCATTCATTTTTCTGTTACTGTTTTTAACATGTTATTCTGTTTTCTGATTCTAGGTTGATAAGTATAAAGGTCAGCGAACATATGAAGCTCTCAGGAAATACGTGGCAGCTCAGATTTCCGAGGAAACAGTAGACAGGGTTGAGGCAAAACCGCCAGCTTCCCTTAAAACAGTTAGTTACTGATTTCAATTAATGAATCTAGAATTGACGTCATTGCACTCGGGGCATTTCCCACACCTGCTCTGACCTCTTCCTCAGTAGCCAGCAAGAGTTCATATACTGTCAGTACCAGCTGTCACCTGATTAAATATATGCCTGTCTTTTTCCCTTCTTTTTTTGGCTTCCACTCTTTATCCCCCCAATGGAGCATAGGTCCTCAACAAACTCAGGCCAAGTCCTCCTGTTCTTTGCTTGCATGCAGGTCACTCCCATGTCTTTTCCATCTTTATAACTTCACTCTCTAAATTTTTGGTCTGCCTTTCTTTCTCTGCCCCTGTGAGCTCCAGTTTTCAGATTTTCTCAACAAATGGCTTATCCGAAACCAGCATCTTTTCTTCACCTCATGATTCACTGGAATTTGTTTAAGTTTTCTTCCAAAGCTTCATACTAGTAGTTCTATAAGACTATTCAATTCCCTCTGTTCTGCACAGGCACCAGGTAATGTATGTTTGTAGTTCAGGCCAGCAAATGTCTAGCCATTGCTCTGCCTTGGCTCCTTATCCACAAGGTATTCTGAGCCAGAAGAGCTAGAAGGCTTCTTAGAGGTACAAAAGGGCACACAAGATATGGTGAAATTATCACGCTCAGATTTAAAACCAAAATAAAATTAGAACTAGTCAGCTTGACATTCTCACAATCACAAGTTCGTTTGTCTGCCATTCAACCCCACCATGACTGCAATGAGCGACCAACACCCGGTGACACAAAGTGCCACCATTCGGATGAGGATCCCTCGAGCACAAGTCCCAGAAACCCCATTCAACTGTTATGTTATATTAGTGCCCCCTGTCTACAGCTGGGGTGGGGTTTTAAAATTACGGAAAAATTGTGTTCTGTTTTTGGGGCGGATATAAATACATTGGGAAACGACAAGTGGAGGTTGTGACTAGAAAGTTTTCATACATCACATCACATGAAGAGTGTTATAATTATGAACAAGAATACACAAAATCACTTAACTTAAATCTGTTCTTCTTATTTGTCTTCATATTCTACTATGCCAGCTGGCAACTCCAACAGAAAGTCCTGGCTGTTCATCCAAAAGTTTGGACTTTGGTCTTGTTCCAGGGCTTGATTTTTGCATGCCTATCCATTTTACTGATCTGGCTTTTTTAAGTGCAGACTGTTGGTTCCTCACCTTTCAGTCAAATGCACTCCAACTTAAAAGAACCCCCCACCAATAATTATACTTTTACCACATGCTTGTTATGCAGCAGTGGGTCTTTCCCTCTTGCCCAGTATCACCCCAGAACTCACATGTCACCCCAGAACTCACATGTCACCCCACAACTCACAGTGTTACCCCAGAACACACATGTCACCCCAGAACACACATGTCACCCAGAACTCACAGTGTCACCCCAGAACACACATGTCACCCCAGAATACACATGTCACCCCAGAACTCACAGTGTCACCCCAGAACACACATGTCACCCCAGAACACACATGTCACCCCAGAACTCACAGTGTCACCCCAGAACTCACATGTCACCCCAGAACTCACAGTCACTCCCAAACACCCATGGGGAGATGTGACATCTTAAATATCTTTCTCCAGTTCACTAGGCCACTCCATTTCATGAGAAAAGAAAGGTAAAGATGACAGATATGAAATATTCTTCTAGAATTCACCAGACCACTAAAATTCTTACTCTTTAATTCCCAGTTAACTTGTTCTATCTAAAATAGTTGTTGCATTAAACTAGTGAATAGTGTATCTAAAGTTCTTCAAACTAGTAAATTGTGTGTCTAAAGTTCTTCAAACTTTAACCTCTTTAAGAAGAACAAGTTAAGATAACAGTTACCATAGAGTGAGTCAGTGTGACTGCTGGGTGAAACAGAAGGTGTTTAGAAAAGCATACTTTGTCAAGAATTAAAATTAAACATATGATGTGATGCTTGGTGCCGAATAAATTAAGTCACAAGTAATAAAATTAGGTAGATGGGAAATAACTTTCTTGAATAAAATAAATCTGGCAAGGCTAACCTGGTGAACAAATGACCGTGAAGTCTTGGTCTCTCCCTGCCTCTCTTTCTCTGCAGCTTTCATACTGTCATGGTCTACTCTCACCTTTAAATTCCCTTTAAACCTTCATTCTGTAGTTAATAATAAATGTGTATTCCAACAGGTGAAAGGTTACCCCACCCTGAAACTGTTTCACAAAGGTGAATGTGTCCGCCAAAAGGCGCAAATATTGCAGCTATGGCGTAAATAGGCACAACACAATTACATCGCTCGGATGAAGAAGAAGAAGAAAATGATTGGGTGCCAATTTTCCTTCCTAATTTATTTATACTTGTTTAATTTACAGAGCAGGGTAGTGAAACTGACAGGCCAGACATTTGAGTCTCACATAACTTCAAACAACCTTGTTTTTATCAAGTTTTTTGCCCCTTGGTGAGTAGGTTAGTTAACCCTTTCATTACCATTCTATAAAATTTGATAAAACTCAACCTTTTTTTTTTCAGACAGTGATGGTGTTGTTTTATGTTAAGTCACTTCAATCATAATAATATAGCCTCATGTATCTTATGATGGTCTTATGGTGGTCCAAAAAAACTGTGTTACTACTTTATAAATTCTAATGGTTCTGAGGGAAAGGTGGGACAGATATATAGTCAGACTGCTATTGATGCCATCAGAACTGGAATGCTGCTCTTGCTGCTGAAGACGGGGACAGAGCTCTTATGCAAATGTCCTGAGTGCTGGGATTTCGATTCTCAATCCAACATTTATGGTTCCAGAAGTGTTAAGCTTTTTTTTCTTCCAATATCCTTTAATGGCTTTCTTGCTTATGTTTTATTCTTTTGTTTCTTGATGTGTATGTTAGTTAAAATCTATTTTTTCCTTGATAAATATTTCAATTAAGCTATTCTTCTTTTCCTAGTTGAATAGTTTAGTCAGGTTCTAATTGCTTGTTCCTTAGCGAGTATTTTAGTCAAGCTCTATTCTTTTGTTTCTTTATTTTGGTTAAGCTCTTTTCTTTTATTTATTGATGAATATTTTGATTGAACTGTTATATTTTACCTGGTGAATAGTTTAGTAAATTTCTAATATTTGTTCCTTAGTGAGTATTTAGTTTGATAATTGATCAATTTCCTCCCTGTGTTAGTTTTTCAGTTGTACCAGATGATCATTTTACTTCCTGTTTTGGTTTTCAAGTTCTACCAGATCTTCTTCTTCTTTCGTTCGCCTGAAATAAGTTGTCTATATCAGCAGTTTTGTCTCTTGTATAAATTTCACTGTCGTTGTTAGTTCATTCAGTGGTCCATAGAGTTTACGTTCCACTGTTGTTCTTTCTGGCCAAAAGGTTTGCCTTAATGTGTCAAATGTGATGCAGTCCTGGAGTACATGCTCTGCTGTCTGAGGCACCTTTCCACAGGTGCACACGGCTGATACACCTATCTTGAATTTTGTGTACATGTGGTTACATAATCGGTTGTGTCCTGTTCTGAGGTGGAGGATAATGACCTGTTCTGGTCTGTCCATAATAAAATAGTTGTCTTGTTCTGGGGCTGGTGGTTTCCTGATCGTTTTAATGATTCTTTTCTTTTGGTGGTATGTGACTGGTACATCCGGCTGCTCTTTTGTCGCACCTTCCCCTGCCAGTTGATCAGCTTTCTCATATCCAGGCACTCCACAATGAGACGGTATCCACTGCATTACGACTCTTCGCTGAAGGCTGAGTTGTGTCAGCAGTGTTTGCAATTCTGGTAGTTTCCTAGACTGGAGTGCTTCAAGTACTGATTTAGCATCTGTCATCATTACCACATACTGTGAGCCAAGATTGGTATTTAGCAGTTTCTCTGTAGCTATCTTGATAGCCTGGGTTTCTGCATCATAGTTATGGCAGTACTTCCCATTTGGTACACTGGACTTATCCCTAGTACCATCTGGGAATTCGATGTACACTCCAGCACCACCATTTCTAACTGCACTTTCTGCGGACCCATCTGTATAGACCCTGACCCATTGTTCTTGTGGGTATTCTTCATCAATATAACTGAGGGTGGCCATTGTGCGTTGTACACTATCTTGCTCTTTCTTGTCAAATATCCCTTTCACATTTGTCTGGATTTATACCGTTAGTTTACATTTTTCTCTCCATGGGGTTTGTTCCGGAATACTTTTAAGTTGGCAACCAATTTCTGGAAGGTCAGGAGTTTGTCTACATATTCTTTTTGCTTGGTGTGTAAAGCTGCTTCTTTTTAACCGTCCCAAGGCTAGGTTCTTAGATCTATTTTCCATCGGCTGATCTGGCATACTGAGGAAGTTTTCAGCTTGTATTTGCAACTTTGTATCTCTGCATTCTCTCAGTGCCTGTATTTTCCCAGCTTTCTCCATTTCTAATATGGGGGTTGATTTCATCCCTCCTGTGATAACTCTGAGCGCTTGATTTTGCACTGTGTCCAACTCCTTTAATGTGGTACTAGATGCTGAACACCATGCAGTTGATCCATATTCCAAGTGTGGAAGTATGCTCTGCTTGTGTACTTTATTGAGTATTTTCCCATCGGCTCCCCATGTGGTTCCACTTAGTTTTCTTAGTATTGCTGTCTTCCTCCTGGCTTTGGTTGCTGCCTTGTTGATATGTTTTCTCCATGTCAACCTTTCATCAAATGTGACTCCTCTGTATGTGGGCTCTTTATCATCTCTTAGGGGTATTCCGTTTATTTTGATGGTGCCGGCTTTTTGCTTTGGGGAGAGAGTGATAGTGTGGTGCTACATTTGTCTGTGTTGATGCTGATACACCATCTATTGGCCCATGCCTCAAGTGCATTTGTAGCCCGCTGTAGTGTTTTTGTGGCTATTGTTGCTTGTTCATTGGTGCACCACAGTACCAGGTCGTCAGCATACATTGCCATTTTGATTCCATTTGGTATCTCAGCAACCAGATCGTTGATGAATAAAAGGAAAAGTGTGGGCGACAGGACACCACCTTGAGGGAGGCCTTGTCGCAGTAGAACTTATTTACATTTAAAACCATCTACCTGTACCCTACCTGTAACTCCTCTGTTATGTAGATATGCTTTAATCCAATTGTACATTTTTCCATTTATTTTATAGTTTCTCAATTTCTTCAAAAGCCCCTCCTTCCAAACCTTGTCAAAAGCTTTCCTTAAATCTATCCATGCCATGAGTACCAGTTTTTTATCTTGAAAAGCATCCTCTTTTTCTTGGGAGAGGTATGTTGTCTGGTCTTCCGTAGAGTAGAACTTTCTAAAGCCCGCCTGCTGTGGTGTAATGATGTTTTCACTTTCAATGTACCACTGTAGTCTGAGGTTGGTGATGCGCTCCATTGTTTTACAGAGACAACTTGTGAGGCTGATCGGTTTGTAGTTGGAGGCATTAGAACTGTCTTTCCCAGGCTTTATGAGGGGTATCATAATTGCCTCTCTCCAGATCTGTGGAACATTTACTGTATGCCTAGCAAGCATTAAATATCTGTAAAAGCTTTGTTTTGGCTACTTTTCGTAAGTTTCTGATCATTTCGTTTGATATACCATCTGCTCCTGGTGACTTCCGCATTTTCAGATTTGAAATGGCCAACTCCAGTTCATAAGGTGTAATTGGCACCTCTAGCGCCTCTGATGTTATTTATTTCTGACTTCTAAATTGTGTCTTTTCTTGAATTTCGTGTTTTTTCTCTGAACTGATTTCAATGTCGTTATCTTAAGCAAAAGTGTCCGTAAATAGGTTGGCTGCCTCTTTTCCTGTGACCATGTTTCCATCTTTCAGCAGCGTGATCTTTGAGTTCCACCCTGTATCCTCATCATTAATTTGTTTTACAAGCTTCCATAACTTTCTTGTGTCTTTTTCAAAGTTCAGCGACCTTGTTTTCTCCTGCCAGCGTTCCCTTCTAACCTGCAGCTTTTCCCTTACAAATTTTGCTTTTGCATGCTGGTAGTTATTGTGATGTTCTTGGTTTGGCCTGGTCTCTGCTATCTTTCTGGATGTTTCTACTTCGTTATGAAAATTCTCTAGCTCATTACTCCAGTATGGCTTATAATGCTTACGGGCACCTCTTGGTATTGATTCTCCTGCTGCCTTTAATACGCATTTGTTAAATTCTTTAACTACTTTGTTTATATCCTGGTCTACTCTGAGACTTCCAAGCAGTATACTGGTACGGTGCTTGAACATTGTCCAGTCAGCCTTCTTGTAGTTCCACCTTGGCAGCATACTAGTTTCTGTGACCTCATTTTCTACATTCAGGAAGACCGGTCGATGGTCACTGCCTCCCAGTTGATTTCCAACAACTCGTGTAATGTTCCATTCCAGATCTGGAGAGTGAAATGCTAGGTCTGGGGTAGTAGTGGTGTGCCACGACCTCGAGTAGAATGTGGGTGGATCAGTTGGCCTATTAATCAGAACAAGTCTGTTCTCATCCTGCCACTCCTCCAGTTTCTCTCCTCTCTGGTCTATACGGTCGTATCCCCAGCTTTTTGAGTGGCTGTTAAAGTCTCCACATAGAATCATCTTTTCTTCCACTGGGATTGTGACTAATGCCTGGGGACGATCATTTGGGCAGTAATAATTGATCAGGTAGAAGTCTGCATTTCCAGTTTGTAGTTTCAGAATCTAATATTCTCCTCCATCCATATATACTTCAGTCTGGCACGCAGTGATATTGTTCCTCACAAGAGTCAGTATTCCACCCTTTTTCCTGCCTTTCCGGTCTGATCGGAAGCGCTGATAACCTCTGATTTTGAAGACTGTGTCTTCAGTGAGGTGGGTTTCCTGTAGACAGCATATATGAATCTGTTCCTCATTTAGAATATTTTCTAACTCTAGCTTTTTATTTGTAATCCCCTCTGCATTCCAGTGCATTAATTTGACTCCTTTCTTAGTTCGGCCAGATGCTCTACTCTCACGTCCCCTGGCTCCACAGGACATTTGAGAAGGACCTCCAGTAATTTGGGTTGGGCCTCTTCGAGGCAGAGGACCCGGCAATGCTCCTGCCTGAGAGTCCATCACAGGGTGAGCACCATAACGTTTTGCTGATTTAGACATATTTCCATGGCGTGTGTGCGTGGCATCCTGATTGCTGTGGTACGCCTCTTGGCTGGTTGCCTCCGACTTCAGCACCTTGTTTTACAAGTGTAGATTGTGGTCATACTCGAGGAGAGTAGGCTCATCCCTTCGTCTTTCGCCTTTACCTCGTTTGTTGTCCCATCCAGTTGGGGGTTAAGATCCCAACCTTCAACTGGATTGCTGGGAAGGTGAGGTAGGCGTGAGCAAGAGAGGCCAATAGACAGTAAGAGTCTTGTATTGCGCATCATTGCTCCATTAGGACCCCATGATGATCGATTTACTTGCTGTGTTGGTTTTTCAGTTGCAGCAGATGATCAGTTTTACTGACTGTTCGTTTTGCAGGTGTGGGCATTGTAAGAAGCTGATTCCGGTGTGGGAGGAGTTAGCTGAAGCCTTTCATGATCAGCCAGTGTCTATAGCAGAAATTGACTGTACTCAGAATGAGGATATATGCAAGAAGTACCAGGTAATTCTGTCTTATTGCTGTGTTCACTTTTGGATCAGCAACCATGTTGTGGTCATTGGTTTGAGACCTCATTCAGGCAGATTTTTAAAATTGACCCGGAGCGTGAATCAACCCAGCCTAAAAGTGGGTACTGGGAAGTGTTCTAGGAAGTAAAGGCAGCTGACATGATATTCACCACATTCATTTATGAACTATATCATCCATTGAGTGGCAAGTAGTCTATTTTAAAAAATACAATACATCCAATATACATCACAGCATGGATGTTGGTTCTTAAAATGTTAACCTAATTATGTTTTTTTTTTTTTATTGAGTTGTTTTAGGAACCATATCATAGCACTAGGGGCATTCCCATAAGCACACCGTCCCTATCTTCAGCAACATGTGCAGAGTTCCAGTACCAATGGCACCAGTAGCAGTCTCATTATGCATCCACCTTGCCCATCCTCTGAGTGTTGAGTATCTGCCAGATACCCTCTTCACTCCTTGCTGCATCGCTCCCACAGGACTGTGATCATCCAATCACTCCTCTGAATTCCTCATGTGCTCCCATAAGACCTTAACCACGTCTGCCTTATCATGCATCAGAATTCCACCAAGTTGGGCAGAGCCAGCCAGTATGTCCATGTGTTCATTTCCTAACATACAGGCATTCAGTGGAGAAAAGATCTGGACAATGCCCCTCTCCTATAACCTCCTTGCCATTTGGTTTTGCTTTAGAGGGGGAGAGAGAGAAAGACTGTCAGAGTTAAACAGAATTTTAAAGCAGTTTTTTCTAAAAGCCAACCAAAAAAAAAATTATTTCAAAAATTTGGGAGACATGGTAGCACGATGGCTAGATGCTTGCCTGTCATCCTGAAGGTTGAGTTCAAATCCCCATCAAGACAGATTTGTTTTAAAAATTGACCTTGACTGCTAGGTTGACCCCGGGGCTAAAATAAGTAACATGTAATGTCCAGGAAAATAAAGGTGCATCACCTATTGAGTGCCAATTATATGCCCTTCCAGTGTGGGTTCCAGGGCCCAACTGTGGGGAACAAAATGAATAGAAGCATGTCGTAAGAGTAAACTGATCAGGGATGTTTACTTTGGAGTGTGTGTGCATTTGCTTGAGAGGCCAGGAACCAACAGTCTGCATCCAAATAAGCCAGAACTGTAAAATGGAAATGCATGCAAAACTCAGGTTCTGGATCAAGACTGCAGTCCAGAAGTGGATGAACAGTCAGAATTTTCCACTAGAGGGTAAAGGTTAAAGTCGAAAGGATTGATTTTTTTGCACCTACTTTTTATCCTGTGTGGCTCGGTCTCTCTCTGCAAGACGACTAACCGCCTGCCGAGAGTGTCGCACAGAGCACAAACTCCATAGCTTCGACGACGATCCCAGTTTACAGCTAGTGAATGCAAAGGAGAAATATACGCCTGTGGTGTCTTCTTCTTCTTCTTTGCCTTCTTCTTCTTGTGCATTTGTCCTTAAAAGGAGATTGATGTGCTCTGTTGTGGTTTACAGCTAGGCTGTAATATCTGCACCTTTCAGCAAACCCACTGATGACAGTAGGTATTCCTCCCAAAATGGGGTCCTGAAATCTATATGTGGAACCATGCTATTAAACTATCCAGGATCTTCTCTCTTGGTCTCTCCCTGCCTCTCTTTCCCTGCAGCTTTGCTACTGTCACAGTGTACTCTCATCTTTAAATATTCTTTAAACCTTCATCTTTTAATTTATAATAAATGCATATTCCCACAGGTCAAAGGTTACCCCACCCTGAAAGTGTTTTACAAAGGCGAATTTCTAAAAGATTACAAGAGCTTCCGCAGTGTTCAGTATATGCAAAGTTTTTTGATGAAACTCATGCAGGAACAACAGCGTGATGAGCTGTAAGTGGGGAGGTGCTGTGCCTCTAATCTGGGTGGTATCAGTATAATGGAGCAATTTTTTTTGTTTCCTGTTGTGGGATTCAGGTAAAAGAGGACATAAGCAGTAAATTTCATAATTTTGTTTCCAGGATTATTTCACTATATCTCTTCAGGTAGTACTACACACATTACATCCAAGTGCATGTTACAGACATTATGTCAATACATACAATTTTTTTTTTAAACACACACGCGCACACACACTCGCACAGAGAGAGAGAGAGAGTGAAAAGGGGGGGGGGGGGGGAGAGAACAGACAGACAGGACAGGACAGAATCTTTTCATGTGAAACACACAGTTAAGATAGTACATTGTTTAAGCATTTCCATGGTGGTCTTAGACCAATCAGCATCTTCTTCTGCCTGCATAATAGGAGATTGCTATGCATATCAGTACTGCATTTGCATGTGTCAAAGATGTATGTGGTAAGACATATACTGCAGCAGTTAACTATGTGTGTTATGTATTACAGTTAAAAGAATTCATTTTAATACTTTATGATTATTTTTATGTTATTTGTTAAGAATGCATCTTATTTATTATTATACAAAGACAGTCACAAATACAACCAAAGTTTTGACCAAAATCTGCATGAATGAATAAATAAAAAGTGAATCATAAATGACAACAAACAAATGAGAATTTCGTAAAGAATGAAAATTCAAAAAAATGTTAGGACAGGAAGAGGTGTTGCGAAACAAAAACTTGGTTCAGATGTATTTATGCACATCTTTTTTTTTCTCTGTTGAGCTTTTGTGTCGTAGTTTATGTTGTGATTTGTTATTTCTGAATGTAGTTAAACAGTTTTTAATAAGCTGTATTTTATCCAAATTATTTAAATATGGCCAGAAAAAAAAAAATCACCGGCCATTCACAAACTGTGCCAGACATTTCTTACTTTAGCTCATTCTAATCAAATCAGCAGTCTCTTTAAGCTTATAAATGTTGCATCTAATTAAAGTAGAATATTAACTCTACTAAACAGAATAATCAGATCGATTTCAGAGGTTCTGAAGAAACAGCAAATAAACAGATTTATTGGAATATCTTTGTATTTAAAAATTTTTTTTAAAGGCACAGTTCAAATATTTTTTATTAAAAGCATCTTCATCCCTATCCTTTGTGTGTCCCTAGGCATCACATAGGGCTCACATTAGATTCCTCCACTCCACTCTGTTGCATGCAGTTCTCTTGATTTCTTTGTTAAAAGACATAACACTCTTTTAAAAACCATCCTGGAAGGAAAGGTCGAGGTGAAGAGAGCAAGAGGTTGATAATGATGCAGGCAGGAGAAAAACTTCAAGAGATGGATGAAGAGCAGTCCGAGATAGTAGTTTGCATTCAAGACAAGAGAGAGAGAGCGTGTTGGAGTTCCATTGCACTCAGCCTTCATTGTGCAGACTGCACCTGATTGATTTATTGATTGTCTGCCTGATTGATTGATTGACTGACTGATTGATTGAGCATGTTGGAGTTCCATTGCACTGAACTTTTTGTGTTCAGACTGCACTGATTGATTTACTGAATGATTGATTGATTGTCTGACTGATTGATCAATTTACTGATTTATTGATTGATTGACTGATTGATGATAGATTGAACAGAGTAAATATATAGAGATGGATAGGGTAGCAACTGGATGAAGCATAAGGAATTAAGAAGAGCATATCCTGTAAAAGGCTATCAGTCAACACATGGTGAGCTTGTTTGGTACTGAGAGAGTTACCATATTTCTGTATTGCTACTGAAAGAATTACCATATTTCTCTATTCCTACTGAAAGAGTTACCATATTTCTCTATTGCTACTGAAAGAGTTACCATATTTCTGTATTGCTACTGAAAGAGTTACCATATTTCTGTATTTTCTACTGAAAGAGTTACCATATTTCTGTATTGCTACTGAAAGAGTTACCATATTTCTGCATTGCTACTGAAAGAGTTACCATATTTCTGTATTGCTACTGAAAGAGTAACCATATTTCTGTATTGCTACTGAAAGAGTTACCATATTTCTGTATTGCAACTGAAAGAGTTACCATATTTCTGTATTGCTACTGAAAGAGTTACCATATTTCTGTATTGCTACTGAAAGAGTTACCATATTTCTGTATTGCTACTGAAATAGTTACCATATTTCTGTATTGCTACTGAAAGAGTTACCATATTTCTGTGTATAACATAATATGTTCCCCAGATTTTTTTTACATTTAAAATTAGGGGTCGCCTTATACATGGAATGTGATTGAAATATTTCTTTCCTTCTTTGTGGGAAAACAAACTGAGGTCGTCTTATATATGGGGGCATTTCATACATGGTAAAAAATTTTAATATATAAAAACACTTGAGATTAAAGAATGAAAGCACATTCATTCTTCCACTTAAGGCTTTAATCCATCTGAGCCAGCTTTTATTCACAGTTTTGTCTAGTAAATAATATCACTTATCACGGCCTATCGATGTTGCATTTAAGGTATAAGTAATATATTTGCATAGTAAATACAGAGAAAATGCTGCTATATTGGAGAGTGTGAGGGAAGAGCTGAACAGACAATTACCAAACAGGCACTAAAATGGGAAATAGATGCACTGAGGAAACAAGGACGTCCAGTAGAAACCCTAAGGTGAACATTAAAGAGAGAAGCCAAAGGTGTAAAACGAAATGAAGAAATAGGTGTGAGCCCTGTGTGACAATAATGAATGAAATTTTTTTTGTCTCGGTTTTGTTCACATTAGTCTCCCCAGACAAAGTAGGTCACCTTTCATTCACAAGTTTGTTTGTTGTTCTGGTAGCCTTTCCTGAAGGTTACGGGTGTGTCCCACTCTGTTGTTTGCTTTCTCTGGTGTTTTGCATTTACATTTTCATTCCTAGAAAGAGAATTGCTGTGACACAAGTTGCAGCACTCTCTAGCGGGGGTTATGTTAGGACCAGTTGGTCCATGTTTTTGGAGCCTTAAAAGTGTTGGCATGCTGAAATATACAACACCCAACATCAACGGTATTGCAGAACACCTTCGTAACCTTGGGGGAAAGTTACAGGGCTGAGGAATTACCAGTCAGAATTGAGCTAGTGTGTACATCGGGAG